TTTTTCTCGAAACACAACCACTCCAAATATCTTAATACTATGTGTATACGAAAAATTAACGGAAAAGGAAATACAATAATAAAAATAGGTTTTTTGGTAACGAATAGATTGCCGTTATGCGATTTTTCCTTTCGAGTATAAAATTTTAACACATTTCATCACGCGTAACAATATATAAATATATATCTATATAAATAAATAAAATCCGTTACATCTTTGCATGGTAAATATATTGTAATATTCACGCGAGAGAGGCATGGCACAACGAAAGGTGTGTGCCGTCGTACGTATTGGATTTCTAACCATTTTCCGTCCCCAGTAGCGTTCGGGAGAGGGGGGGGTCATTTATACCTTACATGTATTTTTTAAATAAATGTAATCCCTCCCCCTCAAGAAACTTGAAAATGTACCACTCTTCGTTTCTGCGGTAACCCATTTCGGCGATAACTTCATTACTACATTGTCTTGTACGATTACGTTACACGACCGCAAGACCTTTTGACCACCACCCCGCTCGCGTTTACATAACAATAACACGTATAACATAATTGCATATTTTATTTTATTTTTAAATTTGGTAACCCATCCTACATTGCATGGTTTGTACCTTAAACATTTCACAAGGTTCTCGGCACCTGATCCTAAACTTAATATAATTCTATATATTTTTATTTTGTTCTTTTGTACATAAATCAATCTGTTACGAATCCAGTGGCGGATTTAAAGGTTCAAATGAAGTCGGAAAATTCAAAATAAGGGCCTCGTAATAAATGTATCACTAAAATTCTTAGCCCCGTTTTATAAAGTTGCTCGCTACACTCACGTTTCCGTGATACGAAAATGGAAAATAGTACATTATAAATAACGTGATACAGCGTATCACGTTAATCAAGGCTCGGAACTTTAAGCATTTGCATATTTATCTAGAAAGTGCATATTGAAATTCTGATTTCATACAAATTCGATTCATAGTATGTATATTTCAGAAAAAAAAATTTTTGTTGCATAATTATGCATATTTTGTTATTTTTTGTACCAATTCGAATATTTTGGGTTTATATGCATATTTCATGGATTTAACAAATTTTTTTCCAATTTTTTACTACATATTATACCGCATTTTTTTATGTTTCTTTAACGCATATTTATGCGCATATTTTAGTATTCTTTAGTGCATAAAGTTCCGAGTCTTGCTGATAATAAATCATTGTTCATATACTAGTATAATGTACATATTCGGAAATTATATAGAATTCTATAATCAATATTAACAGTATTTCTAACTATATCTATATTCGATCTTTTCTACTTTGTTTTTAAATAAAATATTTTTGAAATATTCGAATTATTCCTGAGTATTTCCTGTATATTTATATTATTTTGTTATAAATAAAAATGGTAATTGTAAACGATATTAAAATTTGTACCATATTTTTTTTTCTGATAAAATTTAAAAAAAAATAACTATAATTTTTCTGGGTCTCAATTAACAATTTAGAAAGGGTATTTGCTGACTAGAACCACCGTTAAATCCGCTACTGTACGAATCGTACGACATTTCACAATTAATACACTACAATTTGTAATATAACATTGATATGATTCACTTGCCGTTTCGTAACAAGCACATTCTCGAATCCGTATTCACGTATAACAATATATATATATATTCATAACATAAGTATACATATTATATTATACGTCTAAGCGCGCGTAGAAAAATAAACACATTTTATATTCTCCTCATGGAAACATAACAAAAATAATAACTAAAATGTAATATGTATATTATATAACCTCCACTCGCAGTACTCCAAACACATTCACGACACAACAAAAACAACAACAACAACAACAAAAACAACAATATCTCAGGAAAAATGTATGATATCGTTGTAGTTATTCCTTCGTAAATTATAAGCCGTAAAAAATTAAATATTTGCTTAATAATAAATGTAATAAAACGTTATAAAATTTAGATTGCCTACTAACTACGGTATAGATTCACCTGATGTAGCAACGGTACATATTAAATTACTGCAGCTAAACCACGGTCGCTTACAATATTATTCAATAATAACACAAGGTTGGGCGATATTAAGCCATTAAGTTCAAAGTTATGTTGCTTTCGACCTATTAACTTCAAATTTCAGAAAATTTTAAAATTAATTCAAAATTAATTTAATTAGGTATAAGTATTTTTACGAACCTAACTGATTTGTTCTTACTGTTAATTCATAGCTACTTATAGTTATTTCTATTACGTTCAATTGCCTCAATTAAATTTGTTTCGGATAATTATTAAAATATTATATTTCTTATTTTTTAGTAAAATTTAAATATTTTAATTATTTTGTATTCGTCCTCGTAGAAATTTGTTAAAAAGTAAAATAAAACAATAATTTTTTTTCTTTTTTTGATTTTGTTAATGGGAAATGCTCTTAAAATAAAATTGTTCGATTGTTCGTAAACTAAAGAAAGTGAAATCGAATGATTTGTTTAACTTTAAAATCAAGTATAAACTCGAAAATTGCTCGGGAACTTTATAATAACCATTAAACCACTAAATAAAAAATATTGAACCTAGTTGAAAAATAATACTAACAATTCGCCCAACCTTGTTAATATTATTAAATTTATGTATTGTCTCACGACGTAATAATTGAGTCTCACTATATTGTCTCGCGAGCGCCGTTAAATTTATTATAATTATTATTAGTTTAAAGCTAAGTAATCACGTTCCAAAGCTTGAGCTAGAGTAAAATAGTATATTTACACATTCTTTAATAATAATACTTAATATATATATTATGGTAAATACACTAGTAGTGTCAATTATTATACATCTTCTGAAAATATTAATTCAATATTTGCGTTAAGCGCTTTCGAGTACATTTATACGAATTTTTATAAAAAAGACACATAATATTGTTGTAATAGTTGTGTTGTCTTGCATTCTCGTCTATCGAACGTATAGTGGAAAATGTTTTATTAAAGTATTATAAAATTATGCTAATTGAGCTCAAATATCTGATTGATTGCAGATTTCTTAGATGTTTGTCGAAAAATATAATCAGTCAAAAATAATCGAACTCTATATATATATACATTTTATATGCTCGAGCGTCCAAACACAGCAATACTATACACTAAATGAAACCGATGACAACGGCGATCATTACTACAGCACGAGTACAACAGATACATATTATTACAATATTATAATTTTATTGTCATTTCGATAAATCAATTGCAATTAGCTCTATAATTACATACGATTTTATTATTAATAATCGCTTTAACGTTATCACTTATACGTATACCTAGTTTATAGTAGTTTTTTTTTTTTTTTTTTTTGATTATTTATTTTTTTTTATTTTTTACAAAAATAGCCCAGTTATATGTTATATAGTATTTAATATTATATCCTACGGAAAACTACCGTTTAAGCCTATCGTAATTATGTTATTTGTATTATATATTATCAACATATTACACATAGTTATTATTATTAATCATACGATCATACATTTTAAAAACCGATTAGAAAAAAAAAATCTCACTTTATTGTCTTAGAACGATGTAGAAGCATTATATTTTTATTGTCTAAAATAATATTATACGCCATCTCATTGGGTGAGGTTGGTGATTAAAAAATAACTTTCCGATTTTTTGATAGGAGTATCAGAATTAGTTATGATAAAAATGATTGAATTTGTGGAACAACAACCTCACCGTGAGCAATTATTTATTGTGATTGATTTTCTTTAATTTTTTTTTTTTTTAACAACACAGCGCAAGTACAGCTGACACGCAGTGACGGTATACCGTACGTACAATAATATTATATTGCACAAACGTGCTAATAGAAAATTTAGAAATTATTGACCAAATATAATTGCGTCACTATATTATAATATGAGCGATTGTAAACTCTGCCAGAATATCGGTTAAGATAAAAAGGTAATAAAAGATCTAGTGTAAACTCCACCATTTTTTTTTCATACCTGTAATGGATATATGTAAACTCCGCCAGCTTTTTTTATTTACCTGCTCAGTGCTTACATTGCCACGTGCCTTCTCACATTAAATACAAATACATGCCCGTTTCCACCAAAAGTAGACCTTTCCCTTTTCCACCAATATCCGTTTCCACTAAATGAGATATTGACCACGTTTTTACCAAAATAATTGTATACTACACTTAAATTAAAAGCTATAGCACAGAAATAACTTTATTTAATATATACTATTAATTCAATAAATGTAAAGGTATTATATAATATATACAATATAGGCTGGAAAATGTTAAATTTTATTTAAAAAAATGGTCAAATATAAAAAGATGAAAAAATAATATATTATGATATACGATACCTTAGTTATGTAAATTGTAACTATATATTTAATTAGTTAATATTTGTTAACTGATCCGATAAAAAATTTAATGTTGTTTAGTACTAATGTTTTATTTTCATGTTTACTTTCGATAACTTTAGCCATCATAGAATTATAAATTTTAAAATTTACATGCAGTTAAAATAAACACACACGCAGTTGTAATACACTATTTAAACTGTGCCATCGTTTCACTTGTTCATAAAGTATTTGATTATTTAGATTTTATTTTATTAATAATAATAGACTATTATTTTATGACTTTTTTTTTTTTACTGTGATTAAAATATTGAAAGTGGACGATTTTAATTGTTATTATCAAAAATATGATTTTATATTATTAGGTATGACGATTATTTTTTATGATTTTTTTTTCTATGATTTAAATATTTTATGTAAACCATTTGATATTATAAAAAATTATAATTTTTTTTTAATAATAAATCATATTAATTTTATACTATTACTCGATTTTCTTCACTGACAGAGTTTACTTGTACTCAATTTTACCTGATTTATTTTTAATGGCGGAGTTTACATGAACCCAATTTTACCTGTTTTATTTTTCTGGTGGAGTTTACAGTAAAAAAGGTACTTGTGGCGGAGTTTACATGCGCCCTATAATATAATACTCGTTTTGTTATGGAGTGTTTGATAAAAACAATTAATTCTACAGTGATCCTCCGGGAAGGGAAAATATGTACCCACTATTTTCGTAGAGTATATGCTACTCCTGTTTCTACAAGACTGCAGGACTGTACAGGATGCCTTAGAGATTGCGTGACCACCTACAAAGGAATGAACTAAAAGTGTTAAATTTATCGTAATATTACCAGGTCCGATAAGATGGAGGGGGGCAGCTAGGGCTGAAGCTTAGGAGCCCGGGCTCCAAAAAAGGGCCGGGGTCTGATGAGTCCACTAAGTCTCGGTCATGGTGTCGAGCTATTTATGGATCACCAACATGAATCGTGCTATAAAACGAGTCTAGAATAAAGTGAATACTATAATATTGATCTAAAACATAGATAAATAACGTTTTCAAGAAATAACCATAGGCTATAAATAATTATTTTTATTTAGTCTGTAGAATAACCGTGACTGCAATTACATTATTTCTTTGATCTACATATTTTTAAAGACGACACTGGATGTCAGTGGCAAATTTAATGCCTCATGTGAGAAGGGTCTGGATTAATTTGCTCTGGGGCCCTTGATTTCTCTCCACGGCCCTGAATATTACTATGAAATATTATTGAATTTATCTGCAACCTTTAAGGTGGAAATGTAATTTTTTACTAAAATTAGTCGCATTTATATTGTGATCTTTTCGGGAAAATTGGATATTTAATGTCATCGTATCGTAATCCCACAGACATGTCCAATTTTTTTTTATAAACTATTAAAAATTGACAGTTAACTCGAGAGAAAACAGCTTCATTCCTTGAAAAGAACAATGTACGTTTTTAAAGATTTAAAAGTTTTAAATTAAAACCCGTTATAATATAAAACGAAACGGATAACTTACTGATCGAATATTATAACAACACTGTTACATCATTAAGTTGATCGATTTTGAGTTCAAGTATAAACGCATAATATTATTAATAGCAAAATTATAATAAAATTAAACGTGGACGTAAGACTATAAAAACAGCGGTTTTTTTTCCCCCGATAACATCTACCAGTGCACGTGTCATCTAATGTCTTGTGTGCGTAATCGGTCGATAAACACTAGCGTATATCCTTGAGACGAATCAAAAACCTTCACACGCACTGTTTGAATCAAATATGAATACAGACATGACGGCTGACGGTTTGTGTACAACGATTGAAAATGATTCGGATAGGAAAAAAAAAAAACGTAAGGGTTAAAAACTGAAATTGGAAAGTATATAATAACTTAGCAGTACGATGATTCGCTCAGCTAATAATTCACGGTTAGGCCGGACTGCCGAAGGACAAAACAGTGACGTAGACCCGTCACGTTAGCGCAGGACAATGAGTTTTGAATCACAGGTCAAGGATTTAAAGGATTGAGGTTTAATATATACGGTGTTGCGGTAAGATCACATGATGATGCGGGCAAAAGGGATTCCGAAGGTATGAAAGCCTGCAGAAGCGCGTTTCGTCCCATCGCTGCCTCCGTTATCAGTAATCGTCGACGGTGATCTCATCGACTTCGTCCATGGCTGATTGCAATTCATCTTCACGTATACTCTTAGTAATCCATTCCGTGTACATGGGAACGTTGACGTACACCCCCGGCAAGCTGGGCGTAGCGCACTCCACGCCCCAGCTGACGATGCCACCCACGAACCACCGGTCCTGGTGTCCTTCCACCGGGCATAGCAGTGGTCCACCGGAGTCGCCCTGTTGAAAAACCCAGTTGTTATAGGCTCTGACGTGGTCGTGGTACAGTTCCAAACACACCCCTTCCCCAAAGGTAGGGATAGTATAACAACCGTCGTTGCCAATATTAAATTTATTTATTAAACTTATTATTACAAAAGGAACGCCAAAAAAAAACGAATAGATTTGAAAAAGCAAAAACAAAATTGTTTTACTTAGATTTTTGTTGTATTTATAAATTTCTTCGACAAATGCAATTAACTAATGGAACATCCAAATACAAGGAATATCCGCAGAAATATTTTGTAAGGCATTTCGTAATGTTAAGGAGAACTACGAAATGTCAACTATAAAGGTGTTTAGTAGCGATTAGCACTGACTGCTTGTCCGAAGTGAAATATGAAAATTTTATAGGTCTACCGATAAAATTGTCTCAGATGCATCATTCTATTCTCACCCGTTGACGAATAAAAGCTGATCAAATTATGTAATTATAACAGTCGAAACTCTTATTACAATCGGAATGTTGCAAGTGAAATACATTTTACGAATAAGAATAAGACGCTGTTCTGTATTGGCAACCGAAGAGAAGTTCAATGTTAGTACCGTAGTTTAGGGGATAAGGAACAGATAGTTGTTCCGTGAAGAAAAATAAGACGATTTCAAAATTAATGCAATGTACGGGAGTATATTTTATCCTTGAGCGATTTTATGAGACAATCATTTTTTCACGGGCTTTCCGGTCAGCCGATAAGGAAAAAAATTGCGAAAAAAAATAAGGGGACATGAGATTCTGATTACGAGCCTAACGACCGTAAGATACTGATGGCAGATCGTGTAAGAATATTGTAACTTTTCCATCTGCTCCTCTTATGATTTTGGTATAATATATGGCGTGAGCTGTTCACCGACAGGTACAACCTCAAGGGCACGTCCTAATATGGGTGAAATCGTTATAGGAGTCATACGATATTACGACGCGCCCTCCGGGTTGTACCTGTTGGTAAACAGCTTACCATGTTAGAACACTGTAAATTATACTACACACTTACTTGACATGCGTCTTTACCACCCTGCTCATAGCCGGCACAAATCATTCCCTTCGTGATGTTCACGTCCTTCTGCTTCAACCATGCATTGCATAAGTCCCTGTCCAGCACCGGAACTTGAACCTCGTTCACGGTCGGCTCGTAATCGGCTCCTGCAAACGTTGTAAACATAAGGATACGTTTTCGATAAAATTTGATAATAAGGCGTTTAACATATTATTATAATTAGGGCCCAGATTTTTATGCAAATGCATATTCTTCTAAAATTCACCTAAAATAATTTTGATTATAAATGTCGACGTTTCGTAATGTGTAGAGTCTAGAATTATTTTTTTTTTTGCATATTTTTGCATATTCGAATGAAAATACATATTTATTGTATATGTCTTGATAGTTGCATATTCAACAATTCGTAGAATTTACGTCTGTAAAGATATCTACTGTCGATTGTAAATAATTCATTATACATCGATAAACGATCGTCAATCGACATCATTTTTATCGACGGCCGACGAATGACGATAAATAATGGATTTTTCATAATAAAGAGTTAAAAAATGAGCTCACCGTCATTACAACACACTTTCAATGTTTAATAGATACAATAACAAAACTAGAGAAATCGAATGTTACTTTAAGAGATAGTTAATTGTTCATAGAAAATAATAAAATTAAATTCGAAGAAGCAGGGCCAGGGATAAATTTCGCCAGATTTAAACTTACAAATGTGTTCTCAATAAATCGTGGATATTCTCCATTGAAAAAAATTGATAGTATAATCAACAGCGAGGTAATTGAATACAACGAAGACGAGAAATTGTTAGTTGAAGAATTATCAAGTTTTAAATATGCACTAATTGTATCTTGTGATGTGGAAAGAAGTTTTTCCAAACACAAAAGTATGCTTCGAGATAATCGTAGGAATTTTTAATTCGAAAACTTGAAATCCATATTTATTATTTTATGCTAGTACTCGACCAATAATAATAATTTAATATAAATATTAATACTTTAATTAATTTATAATACTTTTATACTTAAACAGTATCATTAAAAATGTTATTTTGCATTTTTTTTTAATAAATAATTTTTATACATAACATATTGTTAATTTATAAAAAAATCCATTTTGCATATTTTTTGCATATTTATGATATGAATCTGCATATTTTATAGATTTTTATTGCATAAAAATTTAGGCTCTAATTATAATTATTATATTTTACCTACATGCGATGTAAAATAATTAACTGGAAAGCGATTAATCGATAATAACAGCAGAACACAAAAATACTACTACTGTTTCACTTGTTCTACAGTTTGATTACGAGCATCATATATAAATTGATTGTTTTACGTGTTTATAACAATTATACATAAAGAGAATATTCAAATCCATAAAAAAAATTTTTTTTTATTAAAAATGAATATTGACCTAAAAAGTATTTTTAATATTCAAATATGCATACTACGAATAAAATATAATATTTAAAACTAAAAGTTTTATAAATATTTTAATTTTAAAGTCTATATTTGTGTTTTTTCTAGGTTGTTTTTTAATAAAATATTTAAAAATAAGACATTTTATTTGAACTTAATTATAATATTTTTATTATTTTTTAAACACTGCTAATATTCAAAGGCTAGAGTTTTTTCGATTATTCAAATAAAAAAAAAAAAACATCAATTGACAGACAATATATTACGTTGACCATCATAAACATTGTGTACCACATAGAATATTGTAAACATGAATAGGTTTATTTATTACACAACTTTTCATTGTTTTCGCGATAAAATATAATAAACGAAAATTCTTCACCATAATGAGTGTTTGAGTCAGATTAATGAATTTTATTTGTCACTCGTTTCAGAGGAAGAAAGGGTTTCTCTCGTAGACGTTTGTGTTGACTGAAATAAAATAAGTGGTGAATTTGAGTTTGAAATGTTAACGTTTGGTAATTATGTTTACAATAATTATGCGTGTAATGATACGACTAATATATCAAGTTGTTAAAAAACTCGGTACACCCGAGTAATTATGTGCATTTGATGAACGAACATAACGTAACGCTTGTCTATTTGATATTATATTATCATGAAAACAGCTATTTATAAGTAGGCTAATGGTTATTAATAACACATTGATCATAGGATGTTCGATCAGGCCACCCAATTTAAAAGTACGAATAATGTCAATATTAATCTAATAGTAAAATTTTGTTACACATATTAAGTATATAATATATATGACATGTAAATACATATTGCATTGATATATTTTAATGACAATCGAAAAGATTACGTATTGAGGTATACGCTATTGTTACACATTATTTGATCAGTACACTCTTAAGTTGCGGATCATATCGAAATGGAACTATAACATTTCTATTTGTAAATATCAGAAAATAAAATGAATTAAGATCATTTTATTTTTATTTTTTTAATATTTTGTAAAAAATGTGTAACGGTTCACGTAAAATACCTTTGCAGGCTACAGATTGGCTACCACTGTATAATATTATAAAATTTTAAAACGTGCTCTCTATATACTCGTATCATATCTATCAGTTGTTTTAATTAAAACTGCTGATATTGATAGTTAACTACACCGTTCAGTATTCATAAATATTATTAGTTCAATATAAATTTAGAGCTATTGAGAAATATAATAAACATTTATATTAAGTGTAATATAATTATTTTAACTCTCCCTCTCTCTCTCTCTCTCTCTCTCTCTTTTACTTTATTTTGTCTATTAATTATAATACGGATGTTTTATGTAAAAATATATTTTAATACTCTCATTTTTTAACTATTTATATCCGCTACAATCATATAGAAGATATATAAATATAAATTTATATATTATAAATTGTGAATTTAAAAAGGTAATCATCCTATGAATTTAATTAAAAAAAAATAATTAGGTTATTAAATTTTAATTTCGATTCTTATGAAACTATAAACACAGTGAACAGATATAATTTCAGGAAAATTAATTACAATTGTACATTGTTCATCAGCAAATATTTCGGAACTACGCGTCAATACGTTTTGTAAATCATTTTGCTAAACGAATTTCCAAACAGAATTGATCTCCTTTACAAATGAAAATTTTCCGCTCTACTTATAATTTGTTTTTATACTATAAAATACTTCAATTATATGATACTACATTTTACTAGCAGAACAATGTGTACTGCGTTCGTCGGTATTTAATCACAGCAAGAATTAGTTATTATAACATAATATTGTTATTCTCGCATAGTCGTCGATGAGACTGTAAAGCACTAATCGATCTTAAAAGTGTTAATATTATTCATATAAAAAGCGAATTTCATTAAAAAAAGTGTATTCAGTAATATCGGAGAAACGCACCACAGTTATTGGATATTAAAATATAAATAATATTATTACGTGGAATCAGAATAATATTATACTACCTACCATTTCAAATCTCTTTACGGGGCTTGAATCGGGGTAAGAAATTAAATTCAAATTTATAAGTTATTGACCTGATGAAGGTCTCTGATAGGTCGATATAATAATACCGCGAGACAATAGAATCTATTGTAAGAAATAAATCAATGGTTTTGTGCAGCAGTACGAAAGGAACTAGCAAATTAATTCGTCTAATAAAATATAACATATATTTCATATATATGTATGATATCACATTGTGTTGTTAAATACGTGATTAAAATGTAAACAGCCGTGTTCTAAATAAAACGGGGGCTCACAACCAAATTTATTCGGTGTATAAACACATCCAAACGGAGCTGTGAGTCGTGCAGTTAGTTTTTTGAGTGAATTCATTTTATCAACAACGATCGGATCGCTTTCGCCGTGCTTCGCGAACGTTCGTGCGTGCTCTCGAATGGACGCGGCTTTAAAACTTACAAGTTGTAAAAAAAACATGCTTTTCGTTAAAATAACACAATTCAACAATTTGGCGTATTTTCATTGCGAAAAAAAAAAAAATTGGAGTGCGGCTGTGAAACCCGGAAAATAAGGCAGAACGGCAAATACTCTAAAGATCTTAAATGTGGTGTTGGAGAAAGATGCTGTGGAAGAGTTGAAAAGAACGCCGTAATAACGAAACCATTCTCAGTAAAATAAACCAGTGGTTTTCAACCTTTTTCGGATCATGACGCCCCATTTTTTATTTTTTTTTTTTTTATAATGCGATACTTTCAACAAAAAAATTATGTTTTATTCCTCAAAATTTGATTTAATTAGCGATAAAATATTTACACGATAAACAATTTCAATTAATTTACACTTAAACATTAACTTTATTTTATTTTTAAATAATATGGAAAATCATTTCATCCATTATTTTTGGCGACCCCCAGGTTGAAAACCACTGAAATAAACGAATGTAGAGAAATACCGGAACCCATCAAAGCAAGATGGATGGAACACGGTTGGTCACATATTGAGTCATGAAAACGAACCAGAGCATAGAATTATACAGCGGAAAGTTGAAGGTAAGAGTTAGTCCTTGCAATTTATCTTCGGCAATGCTATCGAGGTGCACGGAAGAAGTTAGCTGGAAACACGGAAGAGCGGAGAGAACGTGTCCGACCACGAGTCCATTATTAGGGTTGAATACAAGAAGAGATCATTGCGAACACTATTCGACGAGTGTTCAGGTACGAATTTTTGTTACAATGCGCGTTGTATTTATAGCGTCCGTGATTTAGCCATACACGGTAAGAACGGTTGTAAGAAATCCTCACGAAACCATCACTGAGGCGATGTTTTATTACATCCGTTACGCAATAACAGTTTTACGATTTCGCCATTGATTGAGGCGGAAAAATGAAAAGAATAAATTTTAAAAATAAACTTAAACGACGACACGTCACGTTAGAATTGTATTTCGACGAACAATAATGAATGACGCAATCGACGAATTGAAAACGCGTCTATTTTTAAACCGACCGGTGAACCGTCTGCGTACGGAGTTCACAGCGTATCCTTTTAAATACGGAGGACTTAGAAGTTTTTAAGAATTCCATAGAAACAACCACGTGGAACACGACGGAAAGGGGCGCGAAAACGACCTGGTAAGAAGCGGGTTCATTCATTCCGAAAACAAGAATACTTTGATCAGGAAAAACTGTATACTCGAACGCGCGTACTACATGTACAATGTGCGGTTGGTATACATTATATAATACTCGTATTATTTATAAACGTATAAGAACAACAACAACAACAAAAATAATATTGTAAATTATAATAATGATAGAGTAAAAATAATTTTGTGCAGTAGGTACCACTAACACGACCGAAAACCGATTTTTATACCGAGAAGTCCACGTAATTTACGCGTTCGGTTTCGAGCGGTGGAAACTTTAAAAACGCATCGCGGCGATGCACACGCTTCAGTGGCCCGAGTCTTAGTTCAGTTGATTTATACAAGCATCGTTTTTATTTTCACTTCGTTAAAAAATTGCCTAAATCCTGATGTTATGAGCGGTGAAGACAACGCTGATGGTAAACAAATGTTATCACGACGGCAGTATAACGATGAAAAGACCGAAAAATTATGCTTGCAAATATGAAACGATTTTTTATCCACTGTGACCATTTGCTGTAAGTTTTTTCTTCTTATAATGCAAAATTTGGAAATATAAGTGATTATAATATTAGGTTTTTCTAGTGATCATTTGTATTATACAGTTGTATAGAACTGTACTATACAATGTATTAAACACATGGTATAAAATTATTTTATGCGGACAGTATAAAAAAAAATTAAAACGTTATTTTTAGTAACTTAAGTATTAATTTTTTAGTTGTACTTATAAAATGGATCTCCAATAAAGTACATTATTATTTTAAAAATTAAAAATATACAATATTATTGTAATTATGTTAATTTAGATTTCAGGTGTTAAAAATGACTAAAATCAATTTATTGTACTATTATAATATTCAAATATTGTAAATATATAGGTACAATGAGATAGTACATAACTATAGAAGTTTTAATTAAGGTTTTCTTTTTATTTCTATTTAAAAAATATGTAATGCTATGTATAACATACATACGTATTTTACCTATATCATAATTTCAAATCGATAGCATGACTTAATATCAATTTGATGAATTTGGTGAATAATTCTTGTATTATGTGTTTTTTTAATTTTTTCTAACTTTTTAGCCATTTTTTTCAATTATTCTATTTTAAAATAATTTATATTTCATAATTAACAATGGGGTTATAATCTTTGTTAAATTCCTTATAATTTAAGGTACTACAAGGTTCTATACGGTATAATACTGGTATAATACCGGTATAATACAGTATTATCAAGACCGTATCTGGAGGAGGATCCAGGATGCCTGGACCCCCCACCTCCAAAATTTCTTCAATATTTTACGAATGTTTAAAATACCATATTTTTAATACTAACATAAATATTTTCAATCAAAAATTACTTAAGCTCCAATTAATCATTGACTGTTTAAAATTTTATATCATAATATCATATGAAAATATGATATTAATTTTAATAAAAGAAGATTAAATCTTTTTCTGTATATTTTCAACCAAATATCAAAAGTTAAAATCTAAATTCAATAAAATTACAATATACATGTTTTGGACCCCTCCCGAAAAAAATGTTTAGATACGGCTTTGGGTATTATACAAAAAATAAATAAAATACCGTATTTTAACATCTCTACATTTTTCTATAATTGTATGCACTAGTGATAATGTAATTTTTAAGAGAATATAATTATTTAATTAATTCTAATTTAACAATTGTATTACTAATAATTTAAATATTTTTACCCTTAAAAGTTACATGAAATATATAGCATAAATTTTGAAATATCTAAAGCGTACCGAATATTTTTAACAGGTACACAAGAAATAGTAAAATTATTACTATATTAAGTATTATTTTTTTAAAACAAATAAGACTTAATGTGCTATTACCTTTGCCATTACCTGTGTAACTATTAAAAGTGAGCTGTAGATATCAATTTGATATGTATATCTATGTATACAATAATTTTAAAGTATCACGATTTGTTTCTTATTAAATAATGATCGATTTATAAAAGTTATGCGACATTTGGATTTAGCATTGACCGAAATTATGGGTTTCGTTCATTTCACAATAATTCAGGATAAAATTTTAGTAATATTAATTTTACAAGTTAATCCGGGACCCTGTTACGATGGCAGAGTGCGGTTTTACAATACGCAGTCGACGGAAAAGAAGAAATATAAAGTATGAGAGAAAGAAAGAGGCGTCCGAGTAAAAATTTATTGATCGGCCACTACCGAACAATAGCCGATGGTCCCGAAACACGCACGATGGAAAAGATAAAAAGTACAATTCAGGGGCGGTGAGGTTTAAATTCAAGTATAGGTGAAAGGCAATGAATAATCGGTCATCGATGGCGACCAACCATCGACGATTTTATTGTATTTTTTTTATTTTGTTTTAATTCAAATCTTCAATTGCTAACGCGTTGGAGGGATTTATTTCCGCCGATCCACGGACGTTGATCTACAACCTTTCTACATTTAAAGATATCGTTGTATGATAATTATTATCTCCAATGATAATTATGATGAGAATTGATTTTTTTTTTTTTTTTTGACGGACTTACGTTTTTCGGCAATACTTCGTCGATTAAATAACGTGTTCACGTGAAGTGTTTTTATTATAAACTGATGATTTAAAGACCAAGACCTTACAACTAGTTTAGCTACAGCACTGATTGATTACAAAATAATACGAGACTACATTTTTTATATATTCAGTATAACGATTTTGTTAACTGTTTTCTTAGTCATTCGCACAAACGATTTATCACCGTTATATCATAAACATCGAGAATAACGAACATTATTTCATACAGTCTTCTTCTTAATACGCAATATGCTATTCCGTAAAAAAGATAATGTTGGTACAGAGAGTTAAAAAGAAAAGTTTTAAGAAAAAAATATAATAGATCTACCGACGTTATTGCGTTTGTACGGAAAATGATCCAATTAAAATAATACATCGTTTGACAGTGTGTTGTGCGGCCGATTATCTGCTTTTTTCTTCTAAGCGTTTGAAACAAATCCGAGAAAATAATAAAAATATAACGGTTCAGTGACATGTGATGGAAATATTTTTAAATTTGATTCATCGAGAATATTTTATGAATTTTTTGCCGCATATCTTACCCTCACGACAGTTGCATACAAATAACGAATACACGCAAAAAAATGTAATTAAAATTCAACAATAAACCGTTCCGTGGAACATTAACGAAAATCTGCAGCAAAATCGGCTCTTAACGGTACGCATTGAAATAAGCCAAATATTTCGCTTGTTGTTTCATTCCTGACCCCTATGAAATATTGCTCGGCACCGTAAATTTAACACCTTCATAGAATTCATCGGTGTTTAAAAAAGTTTCACGGGCTGTTGTTAATAATATTCACATGGATTTAAAATCATATAAAACTTCACCAGATTTTCGGTGAAGTAATTTTTAATTTCCAACCTACAAACATGCATACATAAAGCTATAAATTACCGTATTCACGTATACTGCGAGTAAAAATTATTCGAAGGAAGGAAAACGCAAAGACCTAAATAAACAACAGTTTAATAAAAAAGAAGCACTGAGAACTGTTATCGTTCTGACACTAGTTGTAGGATAAAGACCAAAAAATAAAATATCGTACCTACATTAGATTTTAGGTTCAGATGATTGTAAACAAACACATTTAACGTAACCAATGTAGCTCAATCGTCAGCTTCTAGACCAGTGGTCCCCAATTTGGGGGTAATTACCCTCCAATGGGTTTTTGAGGGATAAAGACTAGACTAATTTTATTGTTCTATTTTATATACTTTATATCTATTGTTATATACAATAATTATTAATTTTAAATGATATTTATGGAGTATACTCTCGATTATTCACGATATTTTGTGGAACAAACCATGTACATGCGTATAAACGAAAAATATAAAATTATAATGTTTCTTTACATAATACATATGCATCAAGGATTAGAACCGTGGTTATATTATAGAACCTTTACATTTAAAGACTCTTTAATTCAAATTTTAAAACCCAAACCAGAAATGGAACCTCAATCAAAAAGTTTTTTGATTTCTGGTTCTATAAAGTTTTTTTTCGGGTCTTATAATATCATGTGTGTATTATTTATTGCACATTTAAAAAGAAAATTGAAAACACTTAATATATTAAAATGAATAACATGATTTAGTAATACAAGTTCGAAATATCTAGAAGATCAATTATTAGTCCGTACCAACAGATAATTTGAGAAATTTGATTCTAAAGATACTACATATTATTTATAAACATCATTACGGTCACATTAATCGGTTTGATGGTATTGTAATATCCCGATGACATGGGTTGTTCATTAGGACTGGCACAAACGCCTTTTTGTTTCGCCTATTCGCTAATATCTAACTTGACTTATGAGTAATGGTCTCAGAAAGTTTGGGAATTGCTGTTTCAGACTAAATTGGTTTATCTATAGAGTTTGTATAATTTTAAAACAGCTCTATCCTGCACATAAATCCCATGCGATTTTCAAAGTTCGCATTAAATGTATTACTAAAAGTATCGAAAATGTCATGTATTATATTAAAATATGTACAAGTACTCGTATAAAAAAAAAAAATAATATTTGTGTTAACGGCGACTTTATTCCATATGTTATGTAGAAACTGTACCTTCGAGTCCGTTTCGTCTGCCCCATCCAATGACCGTGCAACTGATGTTGGTCTTCAAAACCATGTTCGGTGTTGGCAAACATACCGGGAGCAAAAACTCATGAAACGTGAGCTTTTCGCTGAGCTGAACCGCATCAGAATAGAAAATCGTATTAATCATTGTTCTAATAATATATTAAGAAATGCGCACGAGTAGTGTCACCGATATCGACTCGAACTATTCTGCAGGCAAAGAGCCGGAAATATTATAGGTAAATTTAAAAAAATTTAAGCGACAAAGCGGACAAATCGCAGCATATGTAATTAAAATACAGTCATTTGATGTTGAAATTCGTCTAAGTTGCAGTAGACTGAACAAATTACGTTTGTTGCGGGATTTTAAAGAAACGATAATCGATACGTAAATTTGTAATCGTCAGAAAAATTGACCATTTCATGAAATGGAAACGGCTTTTTAACACTTCATGAAATATGAAAGTATTTCATGATATGATCACTTTTTCATAAAACAGTCGTTCTAATTTGACATCGTGTAATTTTTTTCACAATCTGGTCGTTCACTTTGTGTACCGAAAATATATTTTATATTTATCATGGTCTTATAATCATTTTTATCAGTAGATATTAAATGTGTTATCAGTTATAACTGAATTTAACATTCGAATGGACAAGTATTATTTGGACAAACCGGGAAAAAAGCCATATACAAATATGAAGATTGAGACAATAATGGCCGAAATTACTGATGCTAAATTAAAAAAGTATCTACAAAATTAATTAATTTGACCACACATTAATCGTGAGTACCGGTAATTCATTTAAATTTAAAAATATACGCTATTTTTTTCACAGAGGTGCAAAGAAAAGACGTGATTACTATATTTTGCAAAAATATGATGTATTAACTGTGGCCGAGAAGAAATATTTAATTCACAAAAGAACTGATGATAAAGATGATATCAAGTAAGATATATTTATATCTATAAAGTAAATAAGTAATTCAAAACAAATTGCGTACGAAAACTATACCGCGATGGCGGTGGCACGACGGTCCGAGAGCGATCACTGTGCTCGACCAAGGAAAATCTGAAAACGTGTGATGCCGCAGACCTAAGGCTTGCTAATGAATATTATGAATGTGCGCTACAGCAAGTGGAAATCCGACGCTATGGCACGTTGCACGTGAACATTTACATGTATCATGTGCACACGTAGATAAAATAAATAAATAAATAATAATATACAATAATTATTAATTTATATATTTTATAGGTATGTTGTGTTATACGAAGACTTGTTCAAAAGACTAAGTGATTACCATATACGTACTGGACATGGTGGTGTGGGGAAAATGCGTGTGACACTATCCAATAAATATACAATTCGAAGATCAGCTATTGAAACTTTTCTATCAATATGCGCAATCTGTAATAGTAAGAAAGAGTCAAATCGTAAATTGGTTATCAAACCAATTGTAAGCAAAGACTTCAACGAGAGAGGTCGAGTTGATTTGGTGGATTTCCAGTCATTACCTGACGGAAAATATAAATGGATTTTAAACTATCAAAACCACCATACAAAATTTGTATTTTTATTTCCACTTGGAAGTAAACGAGCGGTTGAAGTAGCATCTAATTTACTTACAATTTTTTTAACTTTTGGTGCACCGAAATTTTTACAAAGTGATAACGGTAGAGAGTTTATAAATTCTGTTATTAATAAAATTAAGGAATTTTGGCCGGAACGTATTATTGTACATGGGAGACCAAGACATCCTCAGAGTCAGGGAAGTATTGAACGTAGAAATCAGGATTTTGAAAATATGCTTCGAGCATGGAACAATAAATCTAAAAAATGGTCTGTAGGATTGAAGTTTGTCCAATTCCAGAAAAACTCTTTACACCACCGCATAATTGGCCAATCTCCTTACAAAGTATAATTTGGTTGTGAGCCTAACATTAGGTTAGCAACATCTAATTTACCACAGAAAGTTCTAGAAAAATTAACAGCTGAAGAAGATCTCGAAGAAATATACAACCAATATGAAGAGAAAATACAAGAACAAACACAAACGATATTGCAGAATTTGTGAAATTGAATCCACAGATGACTTATGTGATTTCTGTTAAACAGATCAAAAAATAGAAGAAAAACGTGAAGCAGCGCATATAGATAAAAAAAAAAAAAAAACCACCGAAAGAATGTTACAGATATCTAATTATTTATTATATATAACGTACATAGTAAATACATTGGATGTGTGCAGTATATTTAAGTAATTTTTTTTGTTATTTATTACAGGTTATAAATCCTTCGTTTAATAAATGACTGCATCACAATTCCTGTTCCAAAAGTCGATAGAGGACCTTTGGACCTTTGTTATATTTGAGAAAAAAAATGAGATGTATAGAGTAGGAACTGAACATGGTTTAATTAAAGGATGATTAAGTTCTGGAAATATGCAGCGTGTTACAACATATTTCATATCTGCTGATCAAGTTGACGAGCAAAACGAATTAACTTTGCGTGAAACAATTAAAATTATATCTGGAAGTCAAGGATTTTTGAGTTATACATGCAAAAGTGCTTGTCAAACTAAACGTTGTGCTTGTTTTAAAAGTAATATTAAATGTAACAGCCGTTGCCATAATTCATTAAATTGTTTAAATAAATAATTATTAACTATACGATAAATTTTATTATATATAAATTATTAAAATTATTATATAATTTATTTAATTACCTACATATTACTACTTGTATTATTAATTATATCAAAACTAAACTTAATATAATATACTTACCAGATTACACAATGTAACAAATAAAAATTATTACAAAACTTTGATAAATATAAAATATATTTTCGGTACACAAAGTGAACGACCAGATTGTGAAAAAAATTACACAATGTCAAATTAGAACGACCGTTTCATGAAAAAGTGACCATATCATGGAATATTTTCGTATTTCAAAAAGGTATTAAAAAGCCATTTCCATTTCATGAAATGGTCAATTTTACTAAGTGGCTACGACAAATATATATGAAAAACTCTAGATGGTTAACATACCATTATGTTGCTGCAATTGTCGCAATAATATCGACCGACATTTTTGACTGGTAGTCAATGTTATTGTTTGTTATCGGTAAACAAATGTTATCATATGCTATAAACGTTTAATGGTTTCTAATTTAAACGTTTAAAAGTTTAATTGAATGGTTTCATTTTTGTAATTTTTACCTGACAGATTTTTCGATATTATATAATATTATTCTATCGAACATATAACTAAAAAGTATAATGAATTATTGTACCTTGAACAGGGCGATATCGTGGTCGTGTTGGACAGGACCATTGTTATACATCTCGTGTCTGATTATCTTTTCCACTTTTACTTTGCGGCCGAAAAATGAATGAGAATGTCTCCTCGTCATGCCTAGTTGTATAGTCCATTCAGACAGGTCGTCCAAGATTTTTCTTCTGAGAAATCACGCGTATACATTTGAAACAATGCAAAAGTTTGTTTTACATATTTTTTTAAAAATAGGTATTATTTGAATAATATCTATTTCAGTTCGACCCGTCTTATATTTTAAGCAATTCGAACAACTAAATTATTTTTGTCTCATCAATTATTTTTCGTTAACAATTAAATTGACCGATTAGCAGAGTGGTGGAGGTTCCTTTTTTTAGAAGCGATTGTCCCCGTCCAGATAGTGAAATCATTGGAGATCAGGATTGAACCATTGTCTGTGCATTTATACACAACAACCTCATTCTGTTCAGCCACGATGCCTCCTGACGTTTATCGAGTTAATTGCGGGTAGAATGAGTATTTGTAGGTGGCGAAAAAATAAAATAAAACATCAATATGGTTTATGAAATATAATACCGAAATACTTGAAATTGAAATTTGAAATTCTCCGCGATATGATATTGTGAATTGTTTTTCATACAGATGAATAATTGAAAATTAGTTATCCAACCCGCCGCATTGGAAAAATATTAAGCTCATATGGATAAAAGCGTTTATGGCATTGTTTCCTACTTTTCCAATTGTCTAGAAACAATCGTTAGGGTGATAAATTATTGCAATAAATATTTTATCAAGCATTATTATTCGTATTAAACCTTTTCCAGATAATCGTGTATATCAGCAGTAAACTCACGCACATTCCCACCTCGGTAAATGTTCATACCGTTTAGAAAGGTGGAGTTTTAAAATCTGCACAATAGAGTTCTAGAATGTCCAATGAAAACGTTACGGTAAAGACGGTCGACAACGAATATAAACGGACGGCATTAATGACGAGGGGATTTTCGCGGTGGTGGAATACGGTGAAGTGGGGGGCGGATTGTGTACAAACATCAACAGTTCAACCCCGTATCAACACGCCACCGCCGTGGGAGAGGTCAAGATTCGGAGTTGTGTTCTCGAAAATTACATTATTATTATTACAATATTATTCGTATTGTTTCGTGCGCGCGCACGGGGGCTGAACCGGACATCCGACACGAGAATTATTGTTATTACCCTCCGGTGCAATGAGCCGCGGTCAGGACCCATTGTTCGGATATCAGCACACCGGCGCAGTAGAATATCTCGTCCGGGCCGCCGAGGATTGCTGCCAGGAATGGCCAGTCGCCCGGCAGTGAAGGTCGTCCGCCCACTATCCTCGATTGCCGGTACATGGTTTGCGGTCTTCGTCTCACTCCACATTCTGAAAAAAAAATTATTATAATACTTAATCCGAATTCTAGACAAAACTATGAAAAATTTAAACTATAGTGACAATAACATCGGACAATAGCGTGTCAAGACAAGAGGTTTTTTTTCTCTCTTATACAATTTAGTTCGATATACAACCATACGGAGCCAACTTGAGCGTGGTCGGATAAAATAATGTTTCTATCAAAAATATCAATGCAATGCAGTGGATACAAATATATTATATAGGATTTAATAGAATATAATTTGTTTAAGTATATTGTGACGATAGATTTTGGCTATAGTTTGAATAAATTGCTGACTATATTTTTCGACGTTTGGAAAAGATCCGGTGATGACGACCTACCTAATCCTGATGGATAGGTTATCGCAATGGCGTACATAAGGGGGGCCTAGTGGGCTACAGCCCCCCCCCCCCCAGAAATGTTTTAAAAAACTTAAAAATTATTTTGAAAGTATGTTATATTTTAATGGTGCTTTATGCTTATTTAGAATTTACGTCCAATGTCAAATCGTTTTGGGACGTTCTGTAAAATAAATATAGATAATTACCTACTCTGTATTGTTAGTAATTCTTAGATAGCAGTAAAAATTTAACTTTGTCCATAGTAGCCCCTCCTGAAAATATTTACTGTATACGCCACTGGGTTATCGTAACCAATAATTGGATAATGTTTTAACCAAAATATTCGAAATGAAAGAAAACTACAGTGTGAGCACGAGATAATCTGATTTTACGGGTTTTTTCTAAATTTTTTGTTTAAATATTTGAAGAGGATATTGAAAAATATAGACAATTTTTAAAAAAAAAAATTAAAATTGTTTGTATTAGAAAAAAACAACTTATAATCACTTTTACATCGAACGGATTAAAAGATTGGCTATATCGAGCCAATTCTATTGTGTTTATTATTTCGGCGGTTTACTATTCGCCCGTGTCCTTAAAATTAAAATACATCAAAACTGAACACGGAAACACTTACCGAAATTGGAGCATGAAAGACTTATAGAAGGGTACAAGTTCGAGTCAGGGCAGTCGCGGATTTCCCGATAGACGGTCATTTTATTTTCGTCGTAGTATTCGATCGATTGATTGTACTTGACGGAGGCCAAGAGCTTGTTGTTTGTGCCCAGCTTGCTTATTACGGATCGTCTAAAAATCGCAATAATCGACGATGAAATATTTAGTTACAAAAAAAAAAAAAAAAAAGAAGAATAATAATAATTTGTTAGAATCCGTTGCGGTTCGAACTAAATATAAAATACTACGCAAAATGTATTCTTTTATTTCTAAGTGTGATTGGTGTATAATAATAATATGATATTCTATAGTGACGTAATCAAGTAAAATATTAAGAGCAAATTATGTAATATTAATTGTTCAATTTTAAATAATGAACTTTACTTATTTTTAAACAATCTGGTTTACAATCAAAATAAATAGAAAATTAGCATTAACAATTTCCATAAAAATTTTAATTAACATTATTAAAAGATAAAAATGTTTAATTTAATTTGTATACATCGAAAAAAGTATATAATAAAAATCTCATCAATATTGATAAAGTTTTATTCCAATGAATATATTTTTCTGACAATCGTTCTTGACAGAATGTAATAGGTCTAAACCATGTTAAAACCCTGATTAAAAAAAAAAAAAAATTAAAACCAAAGGAACACATATAAATGTAGTATGCGTATATGTACCTACTGTATATACGATGAGAATGGAAAGAGTGCAATGATATTTAAATTTAAAAATATAGTATTAATAAAAAAGCATTTACGAAACGAAAGTTTTATGAGTTTTAAATTAATAATTAAGTTCAGATCTGCTTTAAATTTTAAAATTACAGTCATAGCGGATGTAACAAATATAATTGTTAGTGGTAAGCAAACATTTTATATCATTATTTTCATCACATAATCTTAAATAATTGTTCATATGTACCCAGGTACAACACAATTTGTACTTAATACGTTAATATGTCATGATGTTTATCGAGAAAAACTTATAATTTCTAAAGGGTGCCATTTACTAGATGATATGTGATAAAATATCATTGGAAAAGTTGCGTTTCCAAAGAAAAACGCGATGTAGATGGAAGAATTAAATAATTTTTCTATCGATTAAGGTAATCAAATTTATATGAGATATTATGATAATTAAGCAGCGTATTTATTATATTTAATTAATTCCTAATGTTTATATGATTTTTTTTAAGTGATTCAAATAACTTAATTTTTTGCATATTCTTATCTTTTAAAATTTATTTTTGCTCTATATAATGCATATTATTTGTGGTTTTACCGCAGTATTTTGATTAACATTATATATTTTATTCTAATTATCAAGACTGGGAAATAATGATATTTTTAACTCAGTTAAGTTAATTGAGTTCACGTTTAATTAAGTTAAAAATTAAGTTAATGCACATAAGAATTACATCAATTAAGTTAAAATTTAAGTTAAAAATATAGTTAACTTAACTTCTATTAATAAGTTAAGTTAATAAAAAAAAAAAAAAAAAAATCTAAACAAATGTAACAATACAATGGGCAGGTTAATCAAAATATCTGTTGAATCTCAATAAAAGAGTCATCTCCAAATGTTGATCAGCTATTAAATGCGTAAATCATTATCGACATGATGCAGTTTATCATTATTGTTATTACTATCGATATGCGTAACGAGAATAATTTAATTCGATTGTAGAGATTTACTTGTAACCAAGTATGTTGCAAATGATAGTAGCCGATAGTGACGAATCCCAACTCTGAATGCACGCGGGTCGCCACGAAGTCGTATTCGGCGAATAAAGCTCCAACACCCCTTCACCCCTTTGGCCCATCTCGCCACTCAGTCGCACTGTGTACAAATTATACTATTATATTTTACACATTAAATATTAAGTGAGAAAAAAAAAGGAAAACAATAACTATGTGCATGCTTGAGAATATGACGGATTGTGTTATGCAGGGAAAAAATAATATTTTCCCTTTTCCCTAGGAACAGGAAGTGTAATACAATTTTGAAATTATAACTCACCGCAATTCCGTTCGTCCTGTCCCCACTCGCAGTCAGATACACCATTGCAAATGTGCTCTACGGCGATACATCTCCCACCACCACAAAACAATTGATCTAGAGAAAAAAAAAAGTGTTCTGTTAATATACGTGTATCACAAGGTATGATTCGTTTTTTTCGTTTTGCCAAGTGACGTTTTCGCAGATACATATAGGACGGCCCAGAATGTTTTCCCGATGGAAATCTCTTAGTGAATATTAATTATTTTTTTCGTTTTCAAGTCAAACAAGGAATTTATTGGTTGTACCATAATTAAGTACTGGATTTAAAAGATATTGAAACTTTTTATTGATACCAGCTAAATAAAATCTGATAAAATATGTATACGAATCGGATTAATTACAGTCTTCCTATTTAATTTAATAATGCAATTTTTCGCAATTTTTAACGATTTTGCAATTTTAGTATACTTCACATGATAAAATATACAAATAATTATTTCTAAAGTAATTTTACAATAAAAATATAAATACGATTAAAATGTTTACATGTACCTAGTTAAATATATTTTAGCATTTTTAATATCAAATTTATCTGAGTTATCCACAAAACTCATAAGTTTAGAAGAATCAAATAGTCAATTACTTAATAGTTTAAACATATTTAGTGAAATTTTAATTCAGAAAAATTATATATTTTGTAAATATTATATTAGTGTCTGTAATATTATTAAGTAAGTAATTAATGATTATATATTTGATATGATTTCACTATGTAATTTTAATGTATTTTCATTGCAACTTTAAAATATTTATACTACAATTTTAATAAATTTTCATTGAAATTATAAGATATTGTTAACGCAATTAAATCCGGTCTTTAACCATAACGCATATTTGTTTCTTTGAATGTGTACAAGATTTCGATTGGAAAGATTGCTTCGATCATTACAAAATAAAAACTAAAAAAAAGTATATGGATTCTGATTGATACTTCCGGAAAGTTATTCTTCCAAATAACTGATTAGAACGGAGAAATTATTACAATAGAATCAAAATTTCAACTGAACTTGAACTTATACCACCAACTAATGTATATTGGTTTTATAACCCAATATTTATTTATTTATTTATTTTTTTTTGTACCTATAAATGATTTCGATCTTAGGACTACTCTAATCATCACAATCATAAGAGATTTCTGTTAGAAAAAATTGTTTTATTGATGAATTGAGGAATTATTTTTCGACGATTCCAAAAACCACACTTTTGGTAGGTAAAAACCACACGCATTTAGTAGGTGAAAACCGCACACTTTTTTAAATTCTTGTAACCAAAAACCGCACAATTTATAATGATATATAATTTATTATTTGTTATTTATACTATATATTTAATCAAAAACAATTTATTGTGGTACAATTTATACAAGCATTGAAAAATTTAAAAAAATATATAAAAAATGTTTGTAGCTAAAATTTTTTGTCGACGTTTTTTCAAAAAATTTAAATTTAAATAAAAAAAAAATAAAAATTGCCTCCTTTATTACTATCTTTTTCTTCTTCTTTTTCTTATGGTTTATTGGGCTTTTAAAACTATCTCGTCTCACAACCTTTATTACTATCAATAATTTAAAAATCCATTTACAAAAACACTTTTTTTTTATGATATATATGTATATATATATATACATATTATGTATATTAACTTTACGTTACACTAGGCATTTCGGTCGACAAATGTACTGATTATTTTTCGAGTACATCAACGTGCGATAAGATATGCTTTTGAATGTAACATTTAACTTTAAAATTATATATACAATATTCGTCTATACAAAATACACTATTATTAATACATTCTATAGTGAGATTTTTACCCAGTATAAGTATGCGATATTTGGCTGTACGATATACTTACCTGGCAATCCATAAAGTGTGCGGTTTTTATCTACCAACTTTTTTGGGATTAAAATCAAATGTGTGCGATTTTTGGATGCAACCTTTTTTTTTAACAAATCCTCACACAATTACGAGGAACAGAAGACAATTAATAAAAACATAAATAAATACGACATGCCAATTTTTAACACAATCTGTTTTCTCGTAGCTCAAAAATAACTATCGAAAAAACATGAAATTATCATTAAATATTTATATTACCATTTCTATAAATTATATAATTTTTAAAAGGTTATTTTTTTTAAATAAAGAATATTAATATTTTCATTTTTCTTAATTTTATTGTCAATATTGATAAAATACTATTGAATTTACAAAAAATCTTGAAAGATTAATATAAAGTTTCTAATCTATTCATATTACTTATTAAAAAAAAAAAAACAAATTTAGTTTCCAATAATGCCTTTGGAATTTGATGGAAATGAAAAATCTAATAATTATTTTCCCAGGACGGTTAAGAGATGAAATTAAGAATTTAACACTATATTTTTCATACCAAGGCCTAGATAGGCTTATAAAATATTATAATCAAACAAAAAAAAAAAAAAAAATTTGCGAAAAAAATGAATATTTACGAAAATATTTCCGTCGGTAAAATTTGATCTGGGCCACCCTGCACCGTCGCTGACAACAAAGCAAGTAAATATTTTCGTAGTAAAACGTTCGCTCGAATAAATATTAACAAAACGGTTACATTATGACGTCATAATAAACGTGAACCTTGGATTGTGCGGAAACGCAAGAATGCGTACAAAGTATTCTGTAGACAAAATTGAAAGTAACACCGAGGATAACGTATTTTAATGTATGCAATATCGTAATCCGTTTCGCTTTCCACGTAATTACAATATGCATATATGTTCGATTTTCGATCGTCTTTTGACGCAATATATTATACATGTATTATAATTCATCCCACAGACGTTTTGGAACGACTAAATTTAAGGTAAATAGAAGACGAGACATATAATTTTTCCAAAAGTAATCAGGATTAAAATTAAATTTAAAAACTGTACTGTTTAAATTTGATCCCCTTGGAAATACACAAATTCAGAAAGTAATTCGATATGATTGTTGACTTCTGCACGATCTTAAATTTTAGATTGGAAATTATGACCAATAGAATTAATTAACTGATTATTTACATGAACATTTCAGTGAGGCAGTAACTTGAACTCCGCTGTGTTTACGAATAAAAAACAAAAACTATTATACTACGATACTTCTTAAGTAATCATCATATAGTGTTCATTATATTTTATAATTATCATATAATTTTAAATAAATAGTAATAGTACGTGATAGTTTATTAATCGTTCACGTTTGCAGCGTTCAGTACACGTAATTATGTGATTATAACCTGTCGAATGTCGTTTAAAAGTCAACAAATTCGTGTTAGAATATTGTTTCATATTTACCGGGATCGACGACTTTTGTTCGTGTACGTCTTTATAACTATTACACTGTGCACGTATGCAAATATACAATAAAAACAGCCATCGACACACTCACCACGTACACATGCACATACAAGCACATGTAGACCGTTAGTTAGGAACACAAGTAGTTTGTCAACGTTAATTTTGTTTGTGAATTTAATTAGGTTACCATATATGAATGCACTGTACATGCAGAGTTGATATACGTGACTAATAATATGCGTAACGCTATCGAAGGGACATCGATTTAAGGAATTCTTCTAAACGCGCATATATTATTCGATACACGTTTTATGCATATTGTGTACAGGGTCGTTAAAATGTAACGATACCGTCCTATTTACAGTGGCGCACACAGGATTTTTTTTTTCGTGGAGGAGTTACAACCCCTTAACCTCCCCTGCATGCATCACCGCCTATTAAATGAAGCAATCGATTTGTTATTTATTTAATTAAAATAAATAAACCAAAATAATGTACGAGATATTCAAAATAAAAGGAGGGGTCTGTTAACGAGCGGAGTCTGCCTGCTGCATGACAACACCAGACTCCACACGGCCAATGTCACGAAGCAAATGTCGGACTCATTTGGATGGGATGTTTTGAACCATCCCCCGTATTCCCCCGACCTGGCGCCTTCAGATTACCATTTGTTCACTTCCCTGAAGAAGCACATGGGTGGAAAAAATTTTCAACTGACGAGGAAGTGTAGGAGACGGTCGACAAGTGGACAAGATGGCGGCAGAGTTTTACGAGAAGGCATACAAAAATTAATTTGCCGTCTCACAACCTGCATTGAAAGAAATGGTGACTATGTAGAAAAATAGCACATAAATATATTAATGTAACCACGTTATTATTTTTTTTTTAATAAATTTTTTTTAAAACCTACAAAAATTGAGTACACTTACTTTCTGGACATGCCTCGTAATACGATTTAATATTTAAAAAATAACTGTTTTGCTCTGTTGATGTAAAATTAAGGTGTGTTTTATTTTTTCTCAAATTAATTATATTATATTATATTTCTTAAACAATATTTCGAAGCAATAGTTTTAAAATGATTAATTGTTTTTCAGTTAAAAAAAAGAGCAGAGTTATATATTCAACACTGTTATTTCACTTCTCCACTCGCGTATCTACATATTGGAATATGAAATAAAAATTACAGTATTGAAGTCTATACAATTTTAAATGACACTAATAGTTTCAAAACTTAATGAAATAATTGCAGCCATATTGTCCTTGTATAAATTAAATACTCTATATTAATATATATAGTTATTATATATTTTTATTATTAATAAAATTAATAATATTGGCCTGTCATTGCGGAAATGCAATACAAAAGTAGACACGAGGAATTTTTGTTGTTTGATAAAAAAATTCACACTGTATACTATGTGTACATACGGAGACGACCGCGACATGGCAAAGACAATACACACATTAATGATGTACCGTACCTATAGTGTTTATAAACGAAAAACAATATTCAACATTCTAGAAGCGTAATCGCCACCACGACATTATCGTTTTGGTTTATACGAAATAAAATAATAAAACGGTTCGGTATGCAATGTATTACGCGATATCCTTTGCATCCCCTCGTTCTAAAAAATGCATTTCGTGAACAAATCCCCGAAGAGAAGGGATCTAAAAATTCAACAGGAATGTCTGCAAGACCGTGAAAACTCGCACGCCCGATCTCGTAGAC